AAAGCTTTTGACGATAATATTGTATTTTTATGATGTTTTGGGCATTTTTCATCAATTTTTGGAGGTACCTACGTTTTGTTAAGCTAGACTGGCAAGATAGTTTAAAGTTTTTATTATATTTTTACTTTAGGCGAATAAGTCTTATACCAAGTAAACTAAATAAAATCCTTCAAAATTCCTGATAGATTAGCCGAAAGCGCTTGGAATCGACAAACAATTTGACAATAAAAGTCTTGGATATATATATATATATATATATATAGAAGATTAACTGCGAACATTTTTGGTTGAAATGTGAATTTTTTATTTTAAAATATATATACTTTATTTTCCAGAATTCTGTTACACGTGTTTCTGGTTTCACAACTTTCTTCAAGCAAAGAGTAGATATTTCCGCATATTATAAAAATTAATTTCTTGTCGGTGTTTATTGCATTATTAGAGAATTTGAAAAAGAGTAGAAGCACGTGTAAAACGAATGTGAACGCATTCTTCGAGGAGAGCCTTGTCCAAAAAGAAAAAAAAAGTACGTTTTATCGTGATGAAAGGCTTAAAAATGTAGTTAACGACCGTGAAAACCGATCAGATCATTTGGACTATCTTAGGGTTCTTGCTCGTAATCTTTCATTATAAATTATTCATATATTATAATTATCCATATATTCTTTTTATGAAATTTTCAAATGTATAAACATTATTTAAACGGTATTTTGTAAATGTTTAGAAATAAAGGTATTACCAATTTTTTTTTCAATTTCTCCCAAAGACTATTTTTCGGGATTCTGATCTTTCAGGATTTTGATACATTCAGGATTTCAAATTTCGAGATTTTTAATTTAAGAATTTCGACTTTCGAGATTTTAAGATTCGGAATTATAACCCAAAGTTCTTATAAAGGGACTCAAAAAAGAAAAAAAAATACACAATATATATATATATATATATATATATATATATATATATATATATATATTATATATATATATATATATATATAGTTAGGTTCACTTTCGAGGGAAAAGGGTTACGTTAGGAAACAATTTGTGTCAATAGGAGTAGAATATGACAGTTAACCCTGGCCTTGAAGTTAAGATTGCAATGATCGAGGAAATATCCTCTTGGTAGTTGATTCCACAGAGCTGTGGTTCACAGAAAGAAGCGGTTCGAGCGGAAATTACTACTCATCCATGGAATACAGAGGAAATGTGGGGAGTTTTCTATTATGTAAGTGGTATGGTGTGTCCTTACAGTGAAGGTTTGAATTGGCGGGAACGGGGAATGTAGTTTGTCTGAGCACTTTCCATGGAAGTAGCGACAGAGCAGTGAGAGGCTTGCCACATCCTACCTGTGGGAGAGAGGTTGAGGGTAGTGAATAATATATCACCCGCAAGGGTTCGGAGACGCTTTTGAACTCTATCAAGGCTTGAGAGTGAGGTCTGGGCAGCTCCAACTCAAATATGACAACAGTACTCCATTTTTTGGCCTGATTGTAAAGGTAGAAGATAGCGAGAGGTTATTACTTACTGGAGGGGTACTGAGAGCTGATCATTTTATCTGCGTCCTGAATAATGTTTCGCCTGAGGTCGGGTGTGTTTGAGGCCCAACAAGGCACGGTTCTTCCCCGAGAGGACCTCCGTTTATCCTGATTGGTGGTAATTCGGGGTCATATCGGTAATGATGGAATGTAACTAGCTTAGTCTTCGAGGCATTGAATGTAGCCATCCAGTTTTTACCCCATTGGGTAGTTTGTGCAAGATCGGAAGAGAGATCAGTCGCCAATCTGTGACCATCGAGAATTTTAGAGGTGCGCTCGTACAAAGTCATATCATCGGCCTATATGTTTACAAATGATCTTATTAGGCTGATCATTTATGTAGATCAAAAAGAAGGTTGATCCGAGGAGTAACCCCTGGGGGACGCCTGTGTTGACCGCTAAGTCTCCTGGGGACTGGCCATTGATAACTACCTTTAGGGACCTACCCGTTAGGAAGGATTTTATGATCGTGAAGACCTTTCCAGTGATTCTATAAATGGAGAGCTTGTGTAGTAAACCTTTTGCGCTACACCTTATCGAATGCCTTTGAGATATCTAGTGCTATGGTCCTCTAGGTGTGCTTGTCATCAAGAGCCTCACTGATTCTGTTAGTGATGGTAGTGAAGACTTCGGCAGTGGATCGGGCAGACCAGAACCCATATTGCTTGTCGCTAAAGAGTTTGTTCTTTTCTAGGTGCTTGACGACCTTATTGATTATGGCCTCATAAAGCTTACTGATGATGCTGAGGAGACTGATGTGTTTACACTGGGCGGTGGGAAGATCGCACGCCCGCGTTCTTGAAAACCAGGCATGCGTTTGACACTTTCATTAGAAAGGATTTCTCCTTCAAGCAGCGGTTGAATAACTTTGCTTGGATGGGGAATAATTCCGGGTTGATATTCTTAAGAACAACTACTGTAATTTTGTTTGGACCAGTGGTTTTCTTATGGCGAAGGTCTTTGAAAAGTCTACAGACTTCTCGTGCTGTGATGGTAATATTACTGAGATTGTGCTCAGTGAGATGTGGGAATTTGGGGAGGAGATGGTCTTTGTCAGCTAATGTTGAGTTAGAGGCGAAGAGGTTCGCCTTATCTGACGAGGAAGATATGACCTCAGGGTTATTTATAATTGTGGGCACAACCGCTTTACCTCTGTTCATGATTTGGTTGCTGATTCCAGAATTCACGGGATCCAATTTGTTTCTTTTTCATTTTAGTCTGAACTGCTCGTGCGTAGTTGCACTTAGCGTTCTCTAGAACGTTTTTGCAGCTATTGCAGGCAGTTCTGGAGGCAGTGAGGGCCGAACTACATCACTCCTTGCGATATATATATATATATATATATATATATATATTGGAGTAGTGGTTTCGCTGAATGCAGCGCATTTAGAGGTGAGCCAGCGTTGATTGTTTTTTGCTAGAATTTTCTTTGGGACATAAAACTCTTCATTCCAGAAATGATCCAATCAGTGACAAGGGCAGTAGTTTTTGAGGCACGACGCTTGAAGAAAGTTGGGAGGGGAGCTTCGATCATCTAGGTTCGAAAGCTGTTTTAATTTGCCTTCGCATAGTGAAAAATCGTTCTATGGAACGGTACATTTAGGGATGCCTCAGGCTTGGCATCAAGGTGGACACTGATTAGGGAATGGTCTGACGTACCAAGTGGAGGTAAAACCTTTACTAAGCATTTATCAAAGCAGGAGCTTAGAAAGAGGTTGATGGGGTTCGCCTGATGTCCCGTCGTGTCCAGGACCTGGGTAGGTTCTCCGATGATCTGGGTTAGTTCATAAGCGATGGAGAAATCTCAGCAGTATCTGTCTTCAACATCGTTTTTTTTTTTTGGAGTTGACTAGCCATTCTTTATGGTGGGTATTGAAGTCGCCGCAGATATGAAAACTGACTGAGGAAAATTGAGCGAGGATATTATCAATCTTCTCAGATATTCGGTCGAAGATTACCGTCCTTTTGTCCTGAGGGCGATAGATGGCAAAGACGAATGTGGTGCTATGAATAAGTGCCACGCGGAAGCACATATACAGGAGATCGGGTTCCTGGTTTTTTCGTCCCTGCCACAGGGAAATTCGTTCTTGATCTAGGCTCCAAGTCCCTGGCCGTAGCGATTTAGGTGGTCATGTTTAGCTATAAGAGGTGAGTAGCCCGGGAGTGTGATCTCCCCTAGTGCATTTGAAGCGCTGATATCGGTTTCAGAAAGTAACAGGAGACCTGGTTTCGACTGAAGAAGAAAAGTTGAAACGTTGACCCCTCACATAGGAGATGGAATACAAGGAGTCTACATTTTTTAGGTTTTGTTTTTTTAGTTTTTTAGTTGATTGGATCCTTTCTGGAATGGAGAGTTTTATGCCCCAAAGAAAGTTCTAGCAAAAAACAATCAACGAAACCACTACTCCAATATATATATATATATATCGCAAGGAGTGATGTAGTTCGGCCCTCACTGCCTCCAGAACTGCCTGCAATAGCTGCAAAAACGCTCTAGTTATATTTTGATTGTTTTTTTATGTGTGCATTGGTTGGTAGAAGACTATTAGGCAGAGAGACAGACACACACGCAGGTTTTTTTTTAAGGCAATTCACCCCAAGCAAGGCGGGAGTGCCACTAGCACGCAAGGGGTTACAAAGGATTGAGAACAAGAGCAAAGAGGCACGTTTGAGGAAAGGACACAGAGGAGGACGGGGAACAAGCTTAAGGTCTCAGATGTCGATTGATATTACACTTGAATATCTGAAGATTCTAGTCATCGGGGAAGCAAGTAAGGGGAAGGGAGTTCCACAGATAGGAAGTGCTGGAGAAGAAGCTGTTTGAGAAGAAGAAACGGTTACATTTAACCGTTTTGACTGAAAGGGTGAGACCGAGATGCGAGCCTAATAGCAAGTTTAAATTCATGAAATCCGGGAACCAGTGACAGTAGCTCGTCGGAACAGTTGACGTAAAAATATTTGTAGAAGAGACAGAGGGAAGGCCACAGCACGTCTGTGGGAAAAGCGGTTGTAGACTAGATGCCAGATTAGGACCTATCATCTTGCATATTTGTCTCTGGATTTTGTCAAGGACCTCGAAACGTACAGCGGGAGCACTAGACCATGTATAATCACATTTCTTTTCAGTTTAACAAACAACTACAAACAAGGACTGTAAGAGCTTTCCTTTAACACTCATACACGCTAAAGAAAAATTAGTTGTAAAAAACACGAAAATATCTTATATTCAAAAACCTTTTTCACCTTTTTCTTTGTTGTGGATTCAAACCAGCAACAAGGTCATCAGAAAAATTACGGTGAAAATATTTGTGGAAAAGGCAAAGTGATTAAAGACGAGATGCCAGTTCAGGAGCGATTCTTCTTTGCGTTTTGTCAAGAATCTCTCTAGACACATAACAAAAGCACTAGACTAGATAAAATAAATCAAAAATTGATTTTTATTTTTACAATCCTTTTCAATTAAAATATGGTTCCGTTTTTAAAGGTATCTTTTAGTTAAAAAAAAAAAAAAAAGTTGTGCATAAATAGACAGCGTTGCCTTAGGTGCAGAAAAATCTGGAACCGATCCTGACAAATTGGCTGCCTTCTTTTTCTTCTACATTTCATATTGTGTCGTACTTAAGCTGAGATCTTGAAGAACGAAATTTTATCAAGAATAAGGTAAATTCTTTGAGTTTAACTAGGTTAAGTCAGACGGTTCTTTTTTTAAGCAATTGAAAAATAAATATCAGCTACTTTCGGCCTATAAAAAAAAATGTCCAAAAGAAAAAAGCAAATTTCTGTTCCCCATTTCTTTATTGATTCTATTTTTTTTTCTTATTTCACCTGAAGCAAGGCGATAAAACAAACTAAGTTACCGATTGTAAAAGAATACGAGAAAAAGAAAAACGTTATTAAGGGGAGAGAACAATAAAAGAAAAGGAATTACGAAGACAAAAGATAACAATATTGGCATTGCATTTTTTGAAGATCAAAGTTCACTAGAAAGCAAGAAGCAGAAAGTAAGTTCCACAGGCGAGAGCTACTTAAAAGCTTCATGTATAAAAATAAATAAATTTTTTTCAGAAAACTATTTTTCTCATTTATTGTTTCATTTCGTTTTTTTTTTTTTAATTGTTTTTCCTTTTTTTAAAATCTTTTTCATGTTTTATTTTTTTTACGCGCACATTAATTTTTTCTTTTAATTTGCTTTAAAAAGTTTACTGGCCATACTGACCCTAACTAGCAACCAATATCTGAATTTTACACTATGAACTTAGCCAACTTAGAAACTCACAAATTTAACTTAAATTCGCAGTGTCATTTATCAGGTCAAACAAACAAAAGTCTAATCATTTTCGAAGTAAGTAAAAAAAAAATGAATAATCTCCAGGACAAGGGCCATAACTGTTGAGAGCAAGAAGGAATCAACACCGAACTGGTCGGATCAACATTCAAAGTAAGTTTTCGTTAGTCACCTGTCTAATTCATTTCTGCATTTGGTTTTCTGCGTATATAACTTTTCCGAGCTTGTTTTCCGTGCTATAGTTTTTTTTATAAATGTTTTGCTTGTAAGTGAATTGTTTTTCATGGGTGCATTTCTTTTTGTGCTGATAGTGGCTCTCTAGACAATTGAATACCGTATCATGATTCTTTCATTTTCTTTTTTTTTTTTTTAATATGTATATTTACGTGTGTCAACGGTAAGTCTACGAACACAGACATGAATAAAATAATAGTCCGTTACAAACAAATCTTGACTAATTTAAAAAAAAAAAAGGTTTCTTCATTTTATTGACGGCAATCTTGTTTTAAATACGATTTTTTTTATACATCATTTGTTTATTAAAATTAAAATCATTGTTTTTTTGAAACATGATTCCTAGTGTAAAATTTCCAAAATTGATTCTTTTACTTTTGGGGGGGGGCGGTTGAAATTATTAATCAAATGTAGCAATCTGTGAAAAATAAATAAGAGGCCGGGGCAACTAGAAATTAGAAAGAAAAATATATTTTTTGGTTTTCCTTTTTTAATTAAAATTATTTTTCATTAACTTGGGAGGGGTGTTCCTAGATTATGACACTGAAATTGTGAAATTTAAAGACATTTGGAATTTTATTGTATGCTTTTTTTTACTATTTCTTCGCTGATTAAAATTTTAATTTATTCATTCGTATTTAAATTTAATTAATTGATTTATTTTTTCATTTTCTTTTTTACTGTTCTATTTCTAAAATTAGCGACAGATCACTTTTTTAAAAATAATTTTTTAAGTAGATAATGGACAAATTCCTTTTTTTTTTTTTTTTTTTTTTTTTTTTTACATGACGTGAGTGAAGAGAAAAATATTAAAAGTTAAAGAAAAACTTAAAGAATTAAAAGTAAAACTACGTTTTTTTTTTTTGTTGTTTTTGTTTTTCTATTAGAGACAATTTTTTTTCAAGGCAGATATATTTCCTACGTGAGTATCGCAATTTTTGTCAAGTTCAAAGTGTCACTGACAATAGTTTTTTTTTTTTTTTAAATGATACTTTTACTTTTGACTGAGTTTAACTAACTTTACTTTCTCACCTACTTGCATGGGTTATTATTATTATTCACTCTTTAGTCTTCCGATAGAGAATAGTCATAATTATTTTATTTTTCAACATCCATACAAAAATAATGTAACAGTTGCTAAAATAAAAAAAATGAATGAATATTGAATAAGTACTGAAAATTTCGTTAGAATCGAACCACTCCCTGATTCTTGGCAAATATTTTTTAAAAGTTAACGGATAGCGATCGATTTCGGAAGAAAACCTTTTTTCGTGGTAGCTAGAAGGTACTTCCACTTTTTTCGCTGAAAAACAGCATACCATAATGAAAAAAAAGACCCCAAACTTAATAAAAACAAAGTTTTATCGTCGAAATGTTTTTAAGAGGAAAGACCAAAGTGTGTGTGTGTGTTTTTTTTTTATTATCATTATAATTATTTTAAAATTTAAATTTTGTAATCCTTTGGCTAAAAATCTTTTTTTTCTTTCTTTTTTTTTTCTATTAGCGGTCGACGTAATATTTAATTTACATTATTGTGTTTTAGCGCCTTTTTTCAAGTGAAAAAAAAACAAAAAAACATTCTTGCAAAAATCAAATAATTGACGGATTTTTTTCATGAAACTTTCAGGACTTTCAAATGAATTAAATTATTTTTGAAATTTCTTTTTTAGAAAATCTTGGTTTTAAAAAAAAAAAAAAAAATTTATATGTCGCCCCCCCCACACTTACTTAATTTCATGAAATTTCGAAAACTTAAAAATTTATTCTTGAAAAATTTTTTTTTTTCAAACTACTACTCATTTCCCGAAAATCTGCTTCGAATCGTAAAATAAAAATGCAATATAAAAAAAAAAAAAACTATCTATATATATACTCATCCTACAAAATTTCATAAAATCGTAAAAATTATGTAAACTTTTTTGGTTATATAAGGTTTAAACTTTAATGATAATTTATTTTTTAAATACCAATTTCTTGATTCTTGCACTGCTGGTGTTCTGTATTTTATTTTTATTTATTTATCTATTTATTTTTATTTATTTATTTATTTTTTTTTTTTTTTATTTATTTATTTTTTTTTTTTTTTTTTTTTTTCGAGCGCTTTTTAAGAGGGACCGAAAAAGTTGTTGTCCCCTGACCTCACAGGTTTTAAAAATATCTAAAAAAAAATTATTTATATACAAACAAGGAAATCTCTCAAATAAAAACAAAATTTAAGTTCAAAGACAAAGAAGGTATTTAATTTATTTTTTTAGTGTGTCCGCGGTGGTACGACTCTAAGACTTTCCCTTCCCCTGTCTAATCAGTTTTTTTTGTTTTTTTTTCTGTTTTCATAAAAATAAAATTTGTAGTTGCGAAAGTATTAGTAAAAAAAAAAAAATCAATACAATGTAATTGCTTGTGAAAACATCTTTTTAAAAATAATTTTATGTATTTTCATGACAAACATAAGAGCCCACAATTTCGTCTTTTAAAGAAAAAAAGTCAATTTTTTTTCCGTGAATCTGCAAAAAAAATCCCGATGACATGACCGCTTTCTGATTGACAGAAAACTCGACTGTAAACAAGTGAAATTGAAAACATCTCTAAAAAATATAAGTACTTGGAAATTGGTACTTTATTGTTAATCTTTACTTTACTCTATTTAACTATACCAAAACCTTTTCTTAATTTTTACTTCAAAAACATAAAAAAAAAATGTATTTTTAAACTAACTGAATGACATGTCAATCAGTACGAGTCAAAGGTCAATTGAGATAGGTGAGCGTGAGGTGATTTGTTGTACATCAGTAGCAGCAATTCATGTTTTTAAGGTGTGTGGAGCACTTCGACATGGTATTGAATGGTTAGCAAGCTTGTCTCGCCAGGTCAATTTAACACTGAAGTTAGTTCGATCCTCACTTGGTACCACATGTTTTCGGTCTTGTGCCATATCTAAGCTACGCTTCTTAGAAAATCACTGTTGTAAGCTGTCTACTCGAATGGTTTCCCTTTGTAAGTATGGTGGCCCGTAATGGAAAATTTTTTTTTTTTTTTTTGTATTTTTTTTACATACAACAATCATTACTTTTAAAAGGATAATTATGAAACATTCTGACACATGAAATATTGGTTATAAAGAATGTAAGTAAAACTAAAATACATTTACTATGTTTTAATGTTCGTTTTGAAAGTGATCGATATTTAAAGAAATAAACTTTTCACTGGGGAATTTTATTTAAAGGAAGTTTTTTCAATAAAAAATAACATAGGTTATACACAAACTTTACATTGGAATAATAAATAATATTGATCTTTTAAATGTTACAAACATTGTAATCATACTTATTTGTTCTCATCTTACCTAGATATATATACATAGATAAATAGATTCAAACATATGTTGTTAAATATAATAGAAAATGAATGTCTATTATGTTTCATTAGCCTTTCCAAGAGTCGTATTATGGCTTTAGTTGCAAGAGAAAATAAAAACAAACACTGTCCAACATTTGGATACTTCTTTATTATATTGGTCATCGATCTAAGCTTTTGGCTTATATGAGCCATCATCAGAGTGGTTATATGGACATTACAACGGAGATGTTTACTGTCAAAGATGACATACAATTTTGTTTACATGGAAGTTTGCTATGCAATGATAATGGTAATGTAGTTCTATAACATCGTACGTGACCACGTGAGAGAAAGAAATTGTATCAACAGAACCATATGTTTAAATGCATTGTAATATGTTGTGACTGGGTTGAAATGTAATTTTGTTGAGTGTGGGTTGCTTTGTTTTAATGTAGATGGCCTCCTATATCTGAAGGTTCTTTTTACTCTGTGTATGACAAAGTATTGTTGTGTTATCAACTATTAACTGTAATATTATGTACATGGCTATGTTTTTCTAAGAAATGTTGTTTAGTGGAACTAAGATCAGAAAGGTGACAGGTAAGTCTATGGGAGACTGTGGTTGTAGCAAAACCAATGTATGTAGTGGGTTTATTATTAGTATCAATCTCTGAATGGTCATGAAAATTGATACACTACATTGTTTTTTTGTAGAGGATTTAGTTGTGTGGTTGTAGATTTATTAGAGACTATAAGGTCAATTGTTTTAAATTTTTTATAATATATGATGAGCTTAACTTGTTTATTATTATTATCAATGGTTTTAACATTTCTACCTATTCTGCTTTTGAGTGTTTCATGTTTGTAATTATTATGCATTTGGTTGCAATAGTATAAGTTACTTGTATTATGTTTATTTTGACATATACTATTGTGATTATAATTATTATATTCAATTTTGTTAGTGTTATTAAGTTTATTGAGATACATTTTAATTAGTGGATCAATGACAGAATTAGGCAACCCATTATTAACGAGTTTGATGTTATCTAATTCTTTATAAAATATGGATGTAAGAAAAATCTAATCCATAGAGATGGGCATGAATTGAACCAGAGGGTCTAATCAAATTAGAAATATTTGAATTTAGCTTTGATGGAGTCTCAATGGGTTCCCCTTTAGGACCCATTTTAGCTAACATCTTTGTAGGCTTCCATGAAGAGTTTATTATCTGATCCTAGTTGACCTGATGTTTATTTTCATTATGACACTTTTTGTCCTTCAATAGCAAAAATGAAGTGGATCTTTTTCTTGTGTCCCGTAACAATATCCATCCAGATCTTAAATTTACACAAGACAAGGAAATTATCTCTTCCCTTCCCTTTCTTGATGTCTTGGTTTGTAGAACTTTTTCAGGTTTTCTCACTTCGGTTTATCAAAACCCAACATTTACTGGTTTGTACACACGTTTTTTTTGTCCCATAAAATGTAAAATAAATTTAATTAAGACTCTTACCCATGGGGCCTTAAAGATCTGTTCTAAAAACGAAATGGATAATGATTATTGCTACTCTCTGCAACAA